AGACTCTGAGCCCGATAATGGTTTTTTTTTTTTTGTGCATGTATGTGAGCGTGTATGAAGAGAACTTTACCTCACTGAAGAAGGCACCCATATCATTACCGCCAGCATTGTTTTGCTGGACAGTCGTCATCTCGATCCTTGTAGGCGATGCTGGTTGTTGACGACCACCATACTGTGAAGGTTGTTGAGCGTACTGATTTTGCTGAGCAAATTGGTTCTGCTGCCCGTATTGGTTTTGCTGACCATACTGGTTCTGTTGGCCGTATTGGTTTTGCTGACCATACTGGTTCTGCTGGCCATACTGGTTCTGTTGATTATACTGGTTACCGCCATATTGGTTACCACCATACTGCTGCTGCTGCTGGCCACTATATGCAATTGTTGGATTAATAGGATGTTTAGTCGCTCGATACGTTGTGGTTGAAAGGGGTGACTGCGACAGCAACAAGGTGTAGGACATTGGTTTCACACTAATAAAGTACTAGTACACTATGGCTCACGCCTTTCTTACCCATAGCCTTGGTTCTGGTTATTGTTGGATGAGGACTGGGCCTAGATTAGCGCAGCAGATGAGTGTGCATGATATTGTTTAGAGAATAGGAGGAGGTGTCCATCAGAATCGGTGTTTGTTGATGAAGCGGTTGGTAAAGTGGACAAGGTGAAACAAAGTGGACAAGGTGAAACAAAGTGTAATTGTACCTGAAAGTCGGCCAAACGATCTCTTCCACTCATGACTATTTAATTAGACTGGGATTTGAGAATCAATAAAGTAATTTAGCAAGAAGAAAGGAGAATGATAACGATCTCTGGTATATAAAAAAAAAAAAGTAGGAGGTGGAATTGAATTGCCGAGACTAGCTAGAGTAGCTATGGTCGGGGCAAGTTGAAAGGTGAGGTTGGACTGCGAAGTATAGGGAGTTGATATGCAGGACAGGAAATGAAAAAAGGCGATAGGGGAGGCGGGAAAGTGATTATGCGGCAATAGTGCTGGGCAAGGGCATGAATGAGGAAGAGGATGAGGATGAGGGTAGTACAGATTGCTGTTTACGTATCAAAATATTAAAAGGTCACTGCAGGAGAGGTGTTCTCGTACCTGGATATAATAATAATAGTAATAGTAATAATAATGGGGGTTGGGGATTAGAGAAGATGAAGAGGATGATGAAAGAATGAATGAATGGTTGAATGAATGAGAAAGTGTGTTCTGAGGAGATTGAGACTGAGAGTCGGGAAAATGAAGAAAATGCTGAGCACAAATATCTAAAGTCTACATATAGCCTGTCCTTTTGCTCTTCGTCTACCGTCTCCAGTCGATTGGATGCTCTTCGAATGAATTTTAAGCTATTCTTGTATTTTTGTGTTTGTGGGTGGAGGTGCGACAATGGACCCTACTGGTCCTGCAGTCCAGCCGTACTCAGTTGAAGACCAGCCAGTCAGCAAGCCAGCCTCCAATCCACCTTTATATTCATTTACTCCTACAGAAACCAAAATAATTACCTCTCATTGGTTTTTGTGCCTTAGTCTACCTCTGTATGCCTGTATGCAGACAGGACATTTATTGCAAATTACATGGCGTTCATTATATTATGAAGTTTTATTACTTGTTCCATGTTGGCATGGAAACCCTTCCCCTTTCAGCGGAATTATGTTTTATATATATGTATTTATGTAATGTTCCTTTGGTAACATGGCCGCAAGAACAAAGTAGAGTTGCTTACAAGAAGGAAAAAAAAAGATAGTTCGAAGCGATCTTGCGAATAATTAAAGGGCAGCTGGATTATGCTACTGTCGCTTGCATTCGTAATAAACTAATTCAGCGCAGAAATAGTCGTGAGCGCCAGTGCGAGGAAAACTAAAGGACTGCCCTGAATAATTGGACAATATTGAGCAGGGTTCTCCTTCTAATATTCCCGCGCTTTTTCTGACTTGCCAACTCAATATCACGCGCACAAGGGCAATTGTGCAATTTGACTGATGGTAAATGGATCCAGATGGCGTGTACGAGCCCATTGTCTCGTGGATGCGGAGGTTTATTTTGCTCAGTTTGCCTGGGGGGCTGTCGACACTGTCTGCATTGTCGGCGCTGAAAATATAGAGGGATGAATCCGAGACAAGACAAGACGGGAGATGTTATCTGCAGCAGTCAGAGCGAGAAGGAGGGGGATGAAGTAGACAACATCGGCATAGGCAGCGGCTAGGTGGGGAAACACACGCACACTTGATGTGAATGTTGTATGTGTTTTTTTCCATCAATGGAAGGTACAATGGCATCGATCGATTGAGTATATATTCTTCTTGACTTCTGTCCAATTTTACTTCTTTGCCACTCTCCCCTCGTCCCTTTCACAGGATACCTTGGACCATCTTCAAGTCCTTCCCTCACACTCTCACTCACTCTGCCCTACTCTGCCTTCACTCTACCCTCACTCTCGCTCATCTACTTACTCACTCACTCACCCACTCTTTGACGCACACACATACGCACATACACACGCACTCTCTCTGTCTCTCTGTCTCTCTCTGTCTCTCTCTCTGTCTCTTCGTCTCTCTCTCTCTCTCACATCCATCATTCATAATGGTTCACTCTTCAGCCTTCGTAGGTCCCTTCATTCCATGTTGTATGCCATATCCCCATCTCGACCTATCTGCGCCCGGCTTTCTCTCTCAATTTTCCCTCTTCTCTCCTCGCTATCAACTGTTGATCCTTTGATCTCATGCCATCCTGTCAACGTTCTGTCCCATCCTCTCTTTTTCTGCTTTTTTTATTTTTTTTTTTAATTTTTTTTTTTTTAAAAAAATATGGGGGGGGGGGGGACTGATTCAGTTGTAGGCCGACCCGAGCGTCAATAGGCAATAAAAATTATATATAGGCAGTTATAGGTTAATGGTAAACCAGTGCTCTTCCAAAGCGAAATTCCTTTTTCGATTAAAGGTAACTGCATAAATTCTGGTTAGCTCTATAAGGTTCGTCCTCCCTTAGCCCAGGAATGATTTGATAATAAATAAGGTCTCTAAAAAAAAATATATATAGCCTCTTAAAAAGGATAAGAGGGTCTTAAACAAAAATAAGGAATTAATAATATAAAAGATAATAACTACACTATAAACAACAATGAATCTTTTGTACCACTTATATATATAACAACAAGGATAAGCAAAAGTCAAATATTTTAACTGAAAATAAATAAAAGCCAGGATTTGCCAATGGGCCCATAAAATCTAGAAAATTACATAGTAAGAGCTTTTGATTTAACAAAAAAATTAGAATACTACTATAATCTTAATAAAATTATTTTATGGGGCCTCCTTTGGAGGACTTTATCAAAGACTTTGAATCTGGGCTCCTAATTTAAAAATAAACCAATCCTTATAGGATACACTTTTATCATTTTTAAAAAATACTCACCCACTTATAGAGAGGAACTCATCTTTGCCCTTGGGGAAAATCACCGAAGTACTATGAATACTGAAATGCCCTCCTTTGGCCCCCCAGAAGATCTCACTAATTTATTTAAAGATATAGCGAAAACTCTTATATTAAAGTGAGAATTATAATATTAAGATATAATAGTACCAGAATACAAGATATAATAGTGCCAGAATACAAGATATAATAGTGCCAGAATACAAGATATATAAGTACCAGAGTGCAAGATATTAAAAGTTGCTGATAGTCGATGAGGGTTAAAATATTCAAAAGTACCAATAGCTTTAATTAGTGAAGCAAAAAAAGGTGAAATTCCTATCTCCGGATACATTGGTAAAATGTCTGAAGCCAAAAATGTCTGAAGCCAAAATGTCTGAAGCCAAAAAGGTACAATTCGTAGGGGGTGGGTAGTCTAAATTAAAGCTCAGCCTTGCTAAAAATTCTACTATTAATGTTTATAGTTAGGCTAAATCCACACTAAAACATTCTTTACTCCCCCCCCCTCCCACTAGTAAAGCCGCTGATATTTTCAACTTTTTTTTTAACGGGAGTAAAGCCGCTGATATTTTCAACTTTTTCTTAACGGGAGTAAAAAATTCTGTATTAAGTTACACTAAGAGTAGTAAGTTATTCAAGGGTAAATGGATTTTATAAACTAATGTTATTAGCAGTATTTGGGGGGGGGGTTATAATTACTTTGAGGGGGGGGTATTTAGATATTGTTAGATAATAGGATAGTATTCTATTATAAGCTTAATATAAAGTATATAGAATATTTATATAGTAGAAGCGCGGATGACAGAATTGAACTATCAATACAAGATCATGAGTCTTATGTGTTAACCATTACACTAATCCACATTTGCCCAACCCTACACAGTTTAATATTCAAAAGAATTGAACTTCTATATTAAAATATCTTAAATAAAAGATATATATAATTATATTATCTAGGGAGAGTCTTTATTATATAATTAATTCAGCGTAGTTCGGGGGGGGGGGGCACTTGTCCCTTACCTTCACCGAAAGGCTAGGAACACAAGTCAAATATAATAGAATTGGCAAATATTAGTAAGATTACGGGGACTGGAAAACGCTTAAAAATAGAAACTCTTTCTCGAATCGGTGGGATTAAGGCTCCTGCCAGTTTTAAATTTTATTTAAAAATATTTTAAAATAAAGAGGGACTTAAGTCCTCAGTATTCACAGATATTAAATCTTAGAGAGATATTAAATCTTAAAGAGATATTAAATCTTAAAGAGATATTAAATTTTAGAGAGATATTAAATCCTAGGAAAATGTTAAATCTTAGGGGAATAAAACATTATTTTTCTCCTATATGTGAGAAAGTATAATAAAAAAAGGAGACTTTTAAAAGCCAAAAATCTCAAAATTATAAAGGAGAATAAGGTAAATTAGTAGAAAATGATTATATCTATCATAGGGGCGTCTAAAATATATAAAAAATAAATGAGGGGGGGGGTACGCTCTAAATTACTTGATATTTAATTTTTAACACCACCCCCCCCATCCTGGGGACCTTGCTATTATTATTTATGTGAATATATAAATAGGGGATTAGCTTAGTTGGCAGAGCAACTTACTTACAATAAGAAGAGGAAAGTTCAATTCTTTCATTTCCTAAATAAGAAATTATCCCTTGTAAGTAAAATTATTATTGATTTTCATAAAGAATAGATAATGCTTATTTGGGGTTTAGGATTATTAAAGGAAAAAATTTTTTTACCTTTGAATAAGGATGGTAGGTATGACAATACAAACGGAACCATTAACATCCTGTTGGGGGGGGTCCCTTGGTGGGTTAGGGAACGTGACTGTTGTTTGATTCAAACAACCGGCAATTAATATTCTAATGATTATGTCCATAATCTTTAAATATATATATCATTAATTAGATTATTCCATTTATAAGAATCATTTAGAATAAACGTATTAGAACTTTATGTGCTTAAGTCTAGTTTAAAAATTTTTTAAATGACCCTTTAAATTTTAATTTAAATATCTAATAAATAAAGGATTTTACCAACAAAAAAAATATGTTACAATGGCTTTTTTCATCAAATACTAAATATAGAAGTTTTCTATATTTAATTTTCGCATTATTTTCAGTAATAGTAGGATTATTTCTTACTTTTTCGCTATTTCTCGATATTTCAAAATTATCATTAATCCCAAGCATATGTTTTATCGGTCAAGATGGTGTTTTTACATTGCTTGTTCCTATAATGATTTATTCTAATGCAGATACCAACAGATCGCAGATCCTGTTAGATAATAAAGGCAGAGCAGGTATTTACCAGTGGACACATTTACTTACGGGTCGTATTTACCTAGGTTCCTCTTCTAATTTAGCACTACGACTAAAAGATTATTATTCAAAAACTTATCTAGAGAAGAACAAATCAATGCATATCTGTAACGCTATCGTACATTATGGACATTCTCAATTTTCTCTAACAATTTTTGAGCATGTCAATATTAGTAATCTATCAAAAGAAGATGCTCGTAAATTAATTCTAGAACGGGAACAATTTTATTTAAATTTATTAAATCCTGAATTTAATATACTTAATACAGCAGGTTCTTCGCTAGGTTTTAATCATTCTCCAGTAACTTTAGCTTTAATGAGTGATGCCAAAACTGGTAAAAATAATCCAATGTATGGAAGAAAAGGTGAAAATAATCCTATGTTTGGACGTACTCATTCTAAAGACAGTCTTGCCAAAATGAGTCTTGCCAAAATAGGTAAAAATAATTATATCTTTGGGGGCACACATTCTGAAGAGACTCTTACCAAAATGAGTAAAGCCCTAGGTACTCAAATTTTTGTTTATTCTTCTGATAGATCTTCTCTTCTATATACATTTAATTCGGCTAGAAAAGCATCGGAACATTTTAAAGTTTGTTGTAATACTATCTTAAAATATTCAAAAAGCGGTAAATTGTTTAAAAACGAGTGGATATTATCTACTTCTAAGGATTAAACATGAATGTTTAATAATAATATTGATATACAATAATAAATAGATATTTATAGCTTGGTTATTTTGAAAGTGAAAGGTTTGATTCCAAGCTCTTTGCTAAAATTTAAGTCTTAGGATTATTAATTATTTAAGGAAAGTCCAGAATACTAAACTAAGTTAATTTACGATTAACAATATTGTTAATTTAAAATAAAGTTATTATTAAGTTTTTATCTATTTATATCTTAATATATATACTTTTTTAATTTAGAAAAAATATAATAATTTAAGTAATCATTAAAAAATTGAGGTACTTTTAAAGAAATCAAATCTTAGTTATAATTTATTTCTAATGTATTTTATAAATAATTTATTTTAACCCTTTTAGGTATATAATTATTTAAATATATAAGAGAATAAATAAACCTTAACAAGTATAAGAATGTTAATATAAGACCTATTGTAGTTTAGCTCTTTAAGAGTAAGATAGATCTTCTGAGTTAATAAATATAACTCAATAAAAACATAACTAAATATTTATAAGATATAAATGTTTTATGTTTAACAAAAATTCTACAGAATCTAGCTTATAATAATCTAAGACACCCAACGGAAGATTCACCAATCTTCTCGTTTAAATGGCAGGATTAAGTGTCCGCATTTTTATCGATTATTAAAGGAAAGTCCAGAATACTAATAAAACTGGCTAGACTTAAATCTTTAAAACAATAATAGTTTATAAGAATTACAAATATAATAAAAATAAATTTTAATTATAATTATAATTATTTATAATTATTGTTGCATTTAATAAAAAGGCATTATAACAGGAGTATTAGAAACAAATTCTCTAAATCGAAATACTACATTATATACATTTTCCTTATGATAACGTTCTACTATAGTAGATATTTCAAGATTAATTTTAATTTGCAAAGTTTCTGCATTAGAATAATAAGAAACTTTTTCAATTTTTTTATGGGGTGCTACTTTCATTCCTTGTTCACTAATTATAAGAATAACAAGCATATAATTATGATTTTTATCTAAAAAATGTAAAAATTTTTGAATAGAATTAGTTTCAATATAATCAAGACCATTACTTAAATCAATATTTTTATGTAACCAAGGTTTAAATATTTTTAATTTTTTACTATTAGGGATATTTATAGTAGCATAATTTTTTTGTGAGAAAGAATTAAGGCTAATTAAGCCTAGGGGCATTACGAAGGAAAATAGTTCTTTTAGAACTAGGATAAAATAATAGATTGTTTAACATTTTGTTTTTTATATATATAAAATCTGGCTCGGTTTGCCAACTACCCACCAGTCAAGAGGTATTTACGTTGTTCTTCATATATTACTATACTTCACAGGGATATTAGTTTATACACTAATAAACGGCATAATTTATAAATACACCTAGAGATAAATCAGGTTTTTTCTTGTCATTGACTAAGAAAAGCTTTATAAATCCAGGATTGAGAAAAGAACAGTCCTTATGATTATAAACATTAGAAATTATAAATAGGGGGAGAGGGAACCCATTCTTTTTTTATGGTTATTTTTTCCACTTTAATGGACCGCTTTGTTTTCTTTATTAACCACCGGGAGTCCATTTTATCATTAAGTCCAGCGTTGAATATAAAGTTATTATAATCAACCTAGTGTATATTTCACTCCAAAACAAGGCATGGGTCTATTCCGTTGGAAAACAAGGTTTGTACATTCTATGTCTCTCATAAAAGGAGGATAGGGGTAAAGAAGATCATACCGAAGGGGTAGATATCCTTTCTCTCTATAAATGGAACAACATTGTCAGGGATGTATAAAAACACTATACCTATATTTAGTAATTATTTTTTAAGTATAAAGAAAGCCGTTAAGAGGAATCAAACCTCTATCCAATTATTAACAGTAACTTGCTTTATCATTAAGCTATAACAGCGGTTGGGGGGAGTGTTAACTGATTGTTCAGGTAATTGACCTTCAAATGCATGGAATGCAGGATACATTTATTAAAAAATAAAAATTAATTGTTATCTATATTATTAGAGGATAAAGCCATTTATTTTTGTATAACTTGGATTTATCTACACAATTAGATAATGTACGTTTACTGCAATCAAAATATTTTCCTGCGTCTGTGAAATTATCAAAAGATTTAAATAGTATTATCTCATTTGAAACAGAATCCTTAGAATACACAAATACTTTTTACTTTTTGCTAAACTAATTTTTGCCAATGTCTCTGGAGTATGATTTTTATTATACATAGAATGATTACACCCTGCTTTCACTAAACTAATTTTTAATTTAGCTCCCTCATTATAATTTTGACCAAACATCGGATGATTTTCGCCTGTTTTAGCTAAACTAATTTTTGTTCGATGCTCATTTGTTTTAGGGATTCCTTTATTAGCTAAACTCATTTTAGCCCAACTCTCTTCTGTATGAACGCACCCCAAAGGAGAACCAGCTAATTTAAGTATATTCAGGTGAAAGAGAATCTAAATAATACTGCTCACGCTCTAGAATTAATTTACGATTATCCTCCTTCGATAAATTTGTAATATCTATAAACTCTATAATTGATAAACTAAATGCAGAATGGTTATGATGAAGTAAAGCATTATATATGAACCTGTTTTTAAAACGACTAAGAATCTCTTTATTGTAATAATATTTTAATCGTTTAGATAAATCAACGGCAGACCCAATATATTTTTACCTGATTCATTATGTGTCCACTGGTAAATCCCAGCTTTCCCTTTTGTCTCAGTTAAAATAGCAGATTTGCCAGTTTCTGTATTAGAATAAACTATAATAGGTACCGTTAAAAGACTTTCTTGAAAAGAAGGAATAAACGATAATAATATATCATTTATTTGAAAAATTTGTGTTAGTTGAAATAACCCTCCTAATATTTCTATTAATAGTGATAAATCACACAATAATCCATTAAGTAAAAATATTAGGAAAGCAATTTTGTGAATTAAGATTGTTGATAGAAGTTGAGAAGCTAAGGGTATCGTTAGTACTAAAAATATAATTCCTAATAGTAACATAAATATGTTAAATTTTGTTAATTTTTCCTTTCTTCTTTATAGCCATCTATCCCTAAACATATCTCTCCATCATGAAGCTGAACTTTTGTTTTATTCTTCGAGATAAGTAGATTTGAACGGATATTTTAAAAATTAAAATTTTTAATAATAATAATAAGTTTAATAAATTTTAAATATCTCTTATATGTTAAATATCTTTTATATGTTAAATATCTCTTATATGTGAAATACCCAATAAATAAAGCTATAACAGCATAAAACCATTCTTTTTTAGCAGCTTAAAGGCCTTAAAATCTTAAAATTTTATTTATTTGTTCTTAAAAAGAGGGCCTAAGGGGGGGGGAAATTCCCCCTTTCGGAATTATAAGTTCAGCATTAGTCTTTTTCTTTGGTAGGATCATCTCATTTTGTGGGCTAATCCCTTGAGTAATTAATTTAAAAGATAAGGTTCAGCTTTATTGTAGGGAGGTATATTTAGTTATTGTTAACTGTAAAGAAGAAAAGGTCAATAAACAAGGTATAATAAAATTACAGTATTGATATGTAAATTAATTTTCAAGATAATAAAGAGATTAATTGAGGATGACTAGCC